ATAATGGGATTTTGTCATCTTTGAGTTAGTAAACAGTGTGATGCCTTAGGTTTCAGTTGGAAGGTTCTGGAACTTGTTACATTTTTGAGTTAGGGTAACACTCATACTTTGAAGAAAGCCCTTTTGCTTTTAGGTTAGCAGAGGTTAGAGGTTAGGTTAGATGTAACTGTATGTGTAAGGTCTAAGAAGAATGGTGATCATTTCGAACTGTTAAGAAATAGGATATTTCAGTGAAAGGACTTAAGTTTCAAAGTTCAAACCAGAAATGTTTGGTTGAAACCCGGATGGGATTATTTGAAGCTAAGATTATCCAAGCTCAGTTGCATGAAGAGTTATGGATGTGGCAGATTCTCAAGACCAGAAATTGAAGCTGGATTAAATTAAACCCTATAGATGTGACAAGGAAGAAAATTCTCTCTGGTGTGAGTACTGCAAAGGAACGCTATTGGGACTAACGTGATCATATTTTGTCATGTGTTCTGAAATAACTAAATATATGTTTTATGTAAATAGTTTGGTTTATTCTATTTTATCTTATTTTAGAACATAGAACCATACAGCACAGGAATGGGCCCTTCGGCCCATGATGTTGTGCTGGACATGACACCAAATTAAACTAATCCCTTCTGCCTGCCCTTGGTCCATATCCCTCCATTCTTTGCATGTTCATGTGCTTATCTAAAAGTCCCCTAAATGCCCCTATCATATCTGCCTCCACCAACGCCCACCCCCACCCCCGGCAATGCGTTCCAGACTCCTACCACTGTCTGTGTAAAAAAACTTGCCCATCACATCTCCTTTGAACTTTCCCCTTCTCACCTTAAATGCATGCCCTCTAGCATTAGGCATTTCAATTCTGGGAGAAAGATTCTGACTGTCAACCCTATCTATGCATCTCACAATTTTATAGACTTCCATCAAGTCTCCCATCAGACTCTGCTGCTCCAGAGAAAACAACCTGAGTTTTTCTAGCCTACCCTTATAGCTCATACCCTCTAATCCAGGCAGCATCCTGGTAACCCTCTTCTGCAACCTCTCCAAAGCCTCCACACTCTTCCTGTAACGTGGTGACCAGAATGGAAGGCAATACTGTAAGTGGGGCCTAAACAAAATCTTACAAAGCTGCAATATGACATCCTGACTCTTGTACTCAATTCCCCAATCAATAAAGGCAAGCATGCCATATACCTTCTTTACCACCCTATCTACTTGCGTGGCCCAATTTTGGGAGCTATGGACTTGAACCCCAAGATCCCCCTGTACATCAATCAATCATGTTCAGGGTCCTGCCATTAACTATACTTTTCCTTAACATTTGATTGCTCAAGTGCAGTACCCCACACTTACCCTGATTAAACACCCTCTGCCATTTCTCCGCCCATATCTCCAACTGATCTATTTCCTGCTGTATCCTTTGACAACCATCTACACTATCCACAACTCCATTGATCTTTGTATCATCTGCAAACTTACTAACCCACCCATCTACATTTTCATCTAAGTCATTTATATATATTACAAACATCAGAGGTCCCAGTGTGGATCCCTGCAGAACACTACTAGTCACAGACCTCCAGCCTCTCTTCCACCACTATCCTCTGCCTTCTAAGGGCAAACCAATTCTGAAGTCAAGCAGCCAAGTCACTGTAGATCCCATGCATCTTAATCTTCTGGTTGAGCCTACCATGAGGGACCTTGTCGAAAGCCTTACTAAAATCCACGTAGACAACATCCACTGCTCTACCCTCATTGATTACTTTCGTCACCTCCTCTAAAAATTCAATCAAGTTAGTAAAACATGACCTGTCCCACACAAAGCTATGCTGACTGTACCTAATTAGGCCATGCTTTGTCCAGGAATCCTGTCTTGCATTTAATATGTCGTAGGAAATCCCAGTGGGGGAAATACAAAAATAGTACAGGTGGGAAGTGGCTTCTGTAGAATATAAATGGCCTATTTTTGTCTTATTAATTCATTGTAATGAATAGTTGATGATACTACATGCTGTGCTATATAATGTAAGGAGCAGCAATCTCCGAACAATGTTGGGTAAAGTTCACGATTATCACTTCAAGAGTCTGTCCCCCAATTCTGATGAAATGAATACAAAGAGATTGGGATTATCAGAAGGAAAGTTTGAACTGGTCTAGAGTTTAGAATAAAGCTCTGAATTTAAAACAGAGAATGCTGGAGAAACCCAACAGGTACAGAAGCATCTCCGGAGGGAGAAAAAGACTTAACAAAGAGACTAGTTTGTAGTTTGACTCTTCCTCAGAAAAGAATTACCTGATTGAAACAGTAAGTATTTTGAGGGGTTTTGGCAAAGTGTATACCATGAGGTTGTTTCCCCATTTGGGAGAGACTAGAACGAGGGCATACACATTCCAAGTAAGAGACGTTCTCCTCAAGTTGAAGATTGAGGAATTCTTTGAAAAGAATACAATATAGGTTTATGAAAAATGACACCTGGACTTCAGGAGTTAAGGTATGTGGGCAGAATTTAGAGGGTTAAGAGATGATCAAATTGAAGTCTTCAAGATAAGATTGGGTAGGTAAAGATAAACTGTTTCCGTTGGTTGGGGATTCTAGAACTGGGGACGACAGCCTGAGAATTAGGGCTAGACCATTTGGGAGAGATAAAAACCAAAAGAACTGCAGCTGCTGTAAATCTGGAGCAAAAACAAAGTTGCTGGAAAAGCTCAGCAGGTCTGGCAGCATCTGTGAAGGAAAAAAAAAGTGAACGTTTCGGGTCCGGTGACCCTTCCTCAGAGCCTTGAGGGTCATTGGACCTGAAATGTTAACTTTATATTTTCCTTCACAGATGCTGCCAGACCTGCCAAGTTTTTCCAGCAACTTTGTTTTCATTCAGGAGAGACGTTAGGAAGCACTTCTATACACAAAGGTTAGAAGAGGTTTGGAACTTTGTTCCGCAAAACGACGGTGCGTGCTGGATCGTACGTTAATTTTAAACCTGACAGGTACATTTTTGTTAAGCAAAGGTATTAAGGATAAGCGGTTAGAACACAGATCAGCCCGGGTGGGGGCTGGGGTTGAGGGGGAATAATAATTTCATTTACAATTATTATTGAGATTTAAGCAGGCTTCAATGGGCCAAATGACTTAAACCTCTCCCTAGCAAACACCATGTCCCCACATGATATCTTCAGATCAGCTTCTCATTGAGGAGGAACAAAGACCGAAAGGCAATTTGTCGTTTCAATTTTTATTGTGAAACATAACCAAAAAGTGGTTTCACACAAATGTTGTAACAGTCACCACTAAACCATCTTCACAGATGTGTGGCCAAGAAATTCTGTAACATGAGTAAATCCACAGTCAGTCGATGGGTAGATCAATGAAAGAACTTTTTCGATGAGATATTTCATCACCAAACCCCTGTTCAAGACGTACATGAACTGCTCCCAACACAAAAACCAATTCAGCCTCATTCTTGATTGTCCGAGTAGTATTACACAAGCTGGCTAACGTGCAAGAGTTTTGTTACTTACTGACAACAAACTGATTTGCACAGGTTTTGGTGTTCCTTATAGCAGGTGTTTGGTGCAGTGGGTAGTGTCACTGCTTCTGCTCCAGGAGCTCTGGGTTCAAGGCCTGCAACCAACCAGACTGAGTGCCAAACTACAAATCCCACCAACAGCAGGTGGTAACAGCAGGGAAGATTCCAGGCCAGTTGTGCCATGAGAAGACCATTGGTGCCCCTATTATCACTATCTACAGCTCCAGACTACACCATGTCACCATAGCAAGTCAGGCTAAGTGAACAGTAACACACTACCTCCACTAAGATAAGTCCGTTTTCCAAGTGGCATGTATAAGAACCCACCAGCTCTTACGGGAACACCTCTGGGATACCACCCATGCATATAACGCAGTTCATACTGAGCCAGGTTTGCAGTTAATTGGAAAAAAACCATTCAGGAACTGAGTACCTGCAGCATCAGGCTAAGAATTGAAGAGCGATGCAATCTCATCAGCTGGATCTCGCCCATCATCTCTCTCCCCAAGACTTTCAACATGGCCCAGGCAGGTGACATTCTCATGGTCAGTTTTTGACTTTTTTTTTTTTTTAAATGGTTTGGGGGATAACTCTCCTCCAACTGGACAGAGTACCTTGGAGTTCCTGCCAGGTTTACTGCAGACCTCAGTACCATTTCAGCAAAGCATTCATAGTGGGGTCCAGAACTCATAAGATTCATTCTAAAGGGAATTCAGGAGCCAGAGCATGGAAGTTTCTATCCCATGAAGGCACTGAAGGGAATTGGATGTGGTGCATTTAAAGGAAAGTTCAATGAACACACAGAAGAGAGGGTGATGGGTTGAGGTGAAATAAGTTGGAAGGAGGTCAGCGGGGAGCATAAGCCAGAAGTCTGCTCTGATAATTCAAAGTAACGTACTCCATGTGGTGCAACTAGACTGATTTACTGATATATAGTCACCTCAGCTAACTTCCAGCTCTAATAGATTCACACATCACCCAGTGTTTATAACGTACAAATTGCTCAGCTCCAACTGAATGCGAATGAAAACTACACATCAGCTTCCAGTGATGGCCACTGCACAGGCTGACCATGTTCAAACTGTTCCCAGTCACAGCCACTCGATGAGAATTTGAAACTGCACTCCCTGAGAAAAGATGGACATTAAAAATCGCTGTTGACACCATCCAGGACAAAAATAACCCGTTTGATTGGCATCTTACCCACCACCAACATGCAGTAGCAGCAGTGTGTACTATCTACAAGATGCACTGCAGAAATTCACCAAGGATCCTTGGAGAGCATCTTCCAAACCCATGACGGTTTCCACCTAGAAGGAAAAGGGCAGCAGAAACATGGGATCACCACTATCTGCAAGATCCACCCCAAGCCACTCACCATCCTGACCTGGAAACATATCACCGTTCTTTCACGGTCACTGGGTCAAAATCCTGGAATTCCCTCCCTATAGGCCATTGTGGGTCAACCTGCAGCACATGGACTGCAGCGGTTCAAGAAGGCAGCTCACCCCCACCTTCTCATGGGGCAATTAAATCTGAAGAACAAATGCTGACCCAGCCAATGACATCCACATCCCATGGACAAGAAGAAATTCCAGAAGTGGTCAACGCATTGTGTCAAAACAGTATAGGACATCAACTTAAAGAATGCATTGGGAATTCAGGGAGGACGTGTTTACTCAGGGAAAAGTTAGAATGCAAATGGAGTGGTTGAGGTGGATTACAGGAATGCATTTAAAGGGGAGGTGGGTGGAGAGAGGAAGGAGAAATGAATGGGGGAGACTGAGAAGAGTAGGAGCAGACTCTTGGGGAGGGCATACCTGCTGGCAGAAACTAGATAGGCTGAATGGCCTGTTCTTATGCTTTTAGTTTGATTTGATTCTATATCGTGTTTGATCCTATTCCTGCTAATGGCTGAAAGTACAAACATTGAGAGGTGGAAGCAATAATACAATTTCACTGGAGCCAGAGAGCCCAACCAATGTATAGACGGGGGTTTGGGACAAACAGGCTGACAATATCCCAACAAAAGGGGCAATTGGAGATGGTCATTCTCTAAAACACCTAACGCTCTAACCCAAAGACAGGATGTCAAATCTGCAAGATAGAATAGTTGACTTTTTTTTGGGGAAAAAAAAACAACTTAAAGACACATTGCAATTTGAGCATCAGCTACATTCTTCAGCACCGAAACCATTCAGTGGCTACAGTTCATCGTGCATCTTGCTGCCTTCGGGCTTCACCAGTCGCCCAATGAAGAGGATGGAGTTTGTCCTCTTGTCCTTGACCAGGAAGAAGAATGGATGATCGGCGTAGAAGATTTCGGGGTTCTTCAGCTCCTCCCGCCCGTAGATGTACGCATCATAGGGGTTTCCATCTGTACTCCATTCTAGCGCAGCAGCGTGGAGGACATTGGCCAGGTACAGGTCCTTCTTCCCAGAGATCTTCGACAAGTCGGCTTTGGTCTTGTCAACCGCTGTGGCCAGACCAATGCTGGCCAGATGTTTCTAGGTGCAGAATAAAGATGGATCATTAGTCATGGCCAGCCAATACAGGAGCAGGGGAGTCAGCTAGTCAGCTCCACCAGCATTGTCCACCATTCAGCTCCATCTGCATCTCTATTCCACTAATCTACTGACCCAGTGAAACAGGGACCCACCATTACCGAAGGAACAAAGAATCAGACTTCCACACCTCGTGTCTGAATTAGTGCCTTTTGATTTCACACCGAGTGGCCTAGCTTTAAGACTATGTTCCATTGTTCAGTGTTGCCCCAATCGGTATAATAGTTTCTTCGTGTCTATTCTATTGAATCTGATAGGCATTTTTGAACGCCTCACTTAGTTCACTCCTCAGTCTCCTGTTTTGGCGGTATGTTACAGCGAATCAGAAAATAAACAGATCCTCCCAGCAAGGGAGGACTTCGTAACCAACCGGTCGAATCTTCAAATTATCTTCAAAACCACACAGTGCCCCTCACCACATTAACATAGGGGAATGTCAATTTGCTCTCTGCAACCCGTCCCCATTACTTAACCCTTTCAACCCCATGAGCACATTATGAATCTATTGATGAGAAACACAGGTTTACAGCAATGGAAACAGGCCCTTCAGCCCAACTTGTCCATACTGTAATTGTTTTCACAATTAATCTAGACCCATTTACCTGTGTTTGGGCTATATCCCTCCATGTACTTGTCCAAAATGTTTCTTAAATGCAAAGAAACTGTACTTGCCTCCACCACTACCTCTGGCAGCCCATTCCAGACACTCACCACTATCTGTGTGAAAAAAATTACCCCTCTGGACCCTTTTGTATCTCTCTTCTCTCATCTTAAACCAATGCCCTGTACTTTTAGGCTCCCCCACTATGGGGAAAATCTGTTGGCTAACTTATCTATGCCTGCTCATGATTTTATAGGCATCTATAAGGTCACCCCTCAGTCTCCTAAACTCGACAGAAAAATTCCCGTCTATCCAGCCTCTCCTTATAACTCAAACCTTCCAGTCCAGGCAACCTCCTAGAAAATATTTTCCGTACTCTTTCTACTTTAATAATCTCCTTATTTTTAGTAGGGTGACCAGAACTGCATGCAGTACTCCAAATGTGGCCTTACCAATGTCTTGGATAGCTGCAACAAGACATCTTTTGGAAAACACATCACCTTGTTTCCTCAGTGAGTAACAAAGAGAGAGAGGGGGAATGACCCGAAATTAAAATGAAAACAAATAAACAAACTGGCGTGAGGTTGCAGAGCTCCAAGATGCAGTGGGATCCTAGTGCATGAATTGGAAAAAGCTAACACATAGGACTGTAAGCAACTAGGAAAGCTAATTAAATGTTATTGCTTACTGCAAGGTAAAACTGAAATGGAAACTAAAACTGCTTCATTTATTCAGGGCTCTAGTGGGACCACATCTGGAGGACTGTGTACACTTTTGCTCTCCACATTTAAAAAGATCTACTTGCATTGGGGCTTGTACAGTAAACATTTATTAAATTCATCCCTGGGAATGCAAGGGTTCTTTAATGATATGACCCATTAAACTGGGTTGACAGTCTCTGGAGTTTGGTCAAATGACAGGAGACCTCATTGAGGGAGCCTACAGCTGGGGAATCTCAAATAATGTCTCAGTTTAAGGGTTGATTATTTAGAACTGAGATGAGGAGAAATGTCTTCACTCAAAGGGTTGTGAATCTTTGAAATGCTCTACTCTAGAGGATTGTGCACATTTATTGTTGAATATATTTGAAGGCTGGAATAGACAATATTTTTAGTCTCAGGGAACCGAGGGAGAGAGAGATCATATTGAATTAGGGAGCAGGAATGAGGGACTGAATGGCCTACTCCTACTCCTATTTCTAGTATTTTACTGGAGGCTAATACTGGCTAACAAGCCTGCTCTGATCCTTACAGAGCCCCTTCCAATTGCTGCCTGGCCACTTTGTTATCCAGGATTTACTAAGAGTCCTGAATGACTGTGAGATTGCCTGGCCAACCGTATGTTATATGATAGATGGCATCACAGAATTGGTGCAGAGCAGGCAGTGGGCTGGCGGTTGTTGCATTTTAGCCTCTCAGTCAGATGGTTATGGATCTAAATCCCATCCCAGAGCTGGAGAGCCTATTCAAGCTGAAACTGCAGCTGGAGTACTGAGGGAGTGCTGCATTGTCGGAACCACAGTCCTCTGAATGAGGCTTTAAACCATGTCCTCCATTTTGAAGAGGGGCAAGGGAAAAATCTGCTCAAGCTACATTATTGCCGGGGAAGGCAATGGCCTAGTGGTATTATCGTTGGAATGATGATCCGGATAACATTTTGGGGACCCAGGTTCGAATCCTGCCATGGCAGATGGTAGAATTTGAATTCAGTAAACCTTTGTGGAATTAAGAATCTAATGATGACCATGAATTCATTGCCAATTGTCAGGGAAAGCCTATCTGGTTCACTAACATCCTTTAGGGAAGCAAACTGCCGTCCTTACCTGCTCTGGCCTACATGTGACTCCAGACCCACAGCAAGGTGGTTGACCCTTAATTGCCCTCTGGGCAATTAGGGATGGACAATAAATGTTGCCTGGCCAGTGATGCCCTCATCCCATGAATGAATTTTTAACAAAAAGACAGATGACCTGATCACCATCAGGAGATCTGTCTGTGGGATTCTGTAGTGTGCTAATGGGCTGCTGAGATTCCCTCCTGAGGTGGTGGAGGATGCTCCACAATCACAAGCTCTTGCTCTGTGGTTTTAGCTTTACCTGCAGCTCGTGGCTAACCCCCAGCTTGACTTTTGGCAAGGAGATGGCGACAGCCTGTTTCTGAAGCTTGCCCAGCCAGGTTTTGATCTGTTCCTTGGTCAGCAGTTTCTCCAGCTTGTCCAGAGGCTGCACATGGTATGGCATGATGAAGACCATGCTGGATAACTGGTGGGCCAGGAGCATCTCCAACACATTCACCTGGTTGGTTTCATCCTTATGGAAGTTATAAAGACCTAAGCAGGAGAGAAACAAATTAAAAATGAGAGTTTTGATCCATCAACACAGGAATTAGTTTTAATTAATTCACAAGATGTCAGCATCGCTGGTTAGACTGTCATTTATTGCTTATCCCTCTTGGCACAAGAGCGCAGTTAAGATGTTGAGGTTGGTTGGCTCGCCGAGCTGGGTTGTTGTTTTGCAGACGTTTCCTCACCGCGCTTGGTAACATCCTCAGTGCAGCCTCCGATGAAGCGTCAGTGTGTTTTCCCGCCTGGCTTTTAAACTCTGGGGTCCATGGAGATGGATTGCCTCACTTCCGGGTTTCCTCCATAGTGGAACGTATATGGGGTCGAGTTAAATGTGTTTATTTATAGCCTGCTTCATGGAGTGCCATGCTTCCAGGAATTCTCGTGCTTGTCTCTGCCTAGCCTGTCCCAGGATCTTGGTGTTGTCCCAGTCGAAGTCGTGGTTCTCCTCGTTCATGTGGATTGAGATGAAGGAGTATTGGTCGTGTCTTTTTGTAGCCACTCAGGCACGAGAATTCCTGGAAGCATGGCAATCCACGAAGCAGGCTATTAATAAACACAATTAACTCGACCCCATATATGTTCCACTACGGAGGAAACCCGGAAGTGAGGCAATCCATCTCAACGGACCCCAGAGTTTAAAAACCAGGCGGGAAAACACACCAACGCTTCATCAGAGGTTGCTCTAGGGATGTTACCAAGCACGGTAACGAAACGTCTGCGAAACAAGAAACCAGCTCGGCGAGCCAACCAACCTCAACACCCACAACCCGAGCTACAAATCTACTCCAAAACTTTAGTGCAGTTAAGAGTCAACCAGTGTTGGTCTGGAGCCACATGTAGGCCAGGCTGGGTAAGGATGGCAGATTTCCTTCCCTAAAGGACATTTAGGAACCAGATAGGCTTTACCCAACAATTGACTCCAATTCCATGGTCATCACTAGTCTTACTTCCAAATTTTTGTTGGATTGAAATTCCAACAGCTGCCATGGCAAGATTCAACTCAGGTCCCCAGCACACTACCTGGGTCTCTGGATTACCAGGCGAGTTTTAACACCAATAAGCCATCACCTCGGATTACCAGCCCTCCCGTTACCAGAAACAGAGGACCATAGGTTTATTGTAACTGGCAACAGAAGCAGAGGGGAGAGAAGGAAGATTATTGGGCAGTGAGCTGTTGTTATCTGGAATGCGCTGTCTGGAAAGGGCAGTGGAAGCAGGTTCATTGTTCCTTTGATTAGGAGCTGGATAAATACCTGAAGGAGCAACAGTGCCAGGACTTGAGGAAAGAGGAAGAAAAAGTAAATAGGGCTCATTGGCCCAACTCTTCCAAAGACTCAGCACAGGCTGCTAAAGGCAACTCAGAGCAGGTGCAGGTCATTCAGCCCCTCAAATCTGCTCCACTATTCAATATAATCATGACTGGATTGTGGCTTCAACTCCTATTGGCTATCCCTTACAACTTTTGATTCCCTTGTTGATCAAAGGTTTGTCTAACTCAGCCTCGATTATGTCTTATCTCTCATTCCGAGAAAGTCCTCCTCCAATGCCCTTCCAAACAACGATCAGCCTCCAGAGGTCAGTGATTGCTTCCCAGTTGTGACTGCCATCTGTGTAGGGTGACCCAATGGATTTCTGATCCACCTCAAGGCATTGCTGCTGCTGTAGTGTCAGAAATGGGGCATCCAACTTACAAAGGAAACTCCCCACACACACAGCAATGGGATCATGGTCCGCAGTGGATCACAACAGCAGCTTCTGAAGGGCAATTAGGGATAGGCAATAAACGTTGGCCTAGCCAGCAACACTCAAATCCCATGAATGAATAAAAAAAAATTCAAGAATTAGTCTTGTTTCAAAGTGATGTCGATTGAGGGATTTGCTTTAAAACAAACAGAGATAATTAGTGAGCCAGCAAGAATTGCAGCTGCTGGAGTCAGAGATAACACTGTGTGGAACTGGATGAACACAGCAGGCCAGGCAGCATCAGAGGAGCAGGAAAGCTGACGTTTCGGGTCGGGACCCTTCTTCAGAAATAATTCTGAGATAATTAGTGTCCTTTTGTTAAGTGAAAGAAAGTCGATTGAGGGATGGGGTTGGTTCACTCAGTCGGCTGGATGGCTGGTATGTGATGCAGAGTCCTCATCAACAGTGTGGGTCCTGCCTGGTCAACCTTACCCCTAGCCTGAGGCGTGTTGACCATCAGGTTAAAACATCACCAATCGTCTGTCTCGGTCTTTATAATGAGACAATGGGATGTGGTGACTTTACCTTTTACTAATTGTGGGATAAATATTGACCAGGGAACATTCCTCTTTCTCTTAAAACTAGTTCCAATGGAATCTGATACGGAAGAGGAGGCTGTGGTTTAACATCTTATCTGAAGGATGGCACCTCCGACAGTGAAGTATTCCCTCAGTACTGTGAGTGACCAGAGTGCTCAAGCTTCAGCCGGGAGGTGGAGACCTACCTGTACGATGCATCATGTCGATCCCAATCGTGAGAGACCGGCTCACCATGAAACTGCGCTGGTCCACCATCTTGTGATGGAATTGCTCATCCCAGTGAGCTGTGAACACAAAGTAAACAACAGGAGAATGTGAATGATTTGCCTGGTCAAGAGCAAACAGGTTCAAACCAAAAAATATCCAAACTACTGTGATCTATTTATTCTTTTATAGGATGTGAGCATTGCTGGCAAGACCAGCATTTATTTCCCATCCTTAGTTGCCCATGAACCAAGAGGCTTGCAGGGTGATTTCAGAGGGCACTTAACAGACAACCACATTGCCATGGATCTGGTATCACATGTCAGTCAGACCAGGTCAGGATTCTTCCCCTCTCAAAACAAAAGGATATGAGTGAATAAGATGAGTTTTTACAAAAAGTCATTGTTGTCATGATCCCCATCATGGAGATACGCTGTCAACGCCAGATTTACAAACTGAATTTAAGTCCCACCAGCTGCAATGGTGGGATTTGAATCACTGAATCCCTACAGTGTGGAAAGGGGCCATTTGGCCCATCAAGTCCACATGTCCCTCTGAGGAGCATCCCACCAAGACCCACCCTCTAACCTGTAACCCTGCATTTTACATGGCTAACCCACCTAGCCTGCACATCCCTGGACACTACGGGGTAATTTAGCCCATGGCCAATCCACCCTAACCTGCATATCTTTGGACTGTGCAAGGAAACCCACGCAGACACGGGGAAAACGTGCAAACTCCACACAGACAGTTGCCCGAGGGTGGAATGGAGTCTGGGGCCCCAGCACTGCAAGACAGCAGCGCTAACCATTGAGCTACCGTGGTACCCCATATCCCTGGAGTATTGGACATTTGGATCGCTTGTCTGGTGGCGTCACACGGCCAAGAAACCAGGCAAACCGTGTAGCTCCAAACCAAGCTTCCAGATTTAATTCACCGAATCAACATCCCACTGGCTGCTGTGATGGGCTTTGAAACCTGTGGTCGCAGACAATCAGAGCCTCTGACAGAATGATCCAGTGACTTTCCTACTGTCTCTGCCTGCTCCCTCCCACTCCCCCTTTTAGGAAAGCCACCTACGTTTGAAGAACATGGCGTTGATGATCATAGCTCCATCGGTTTTTGTCAGGTCTTTGGTTGCCTCGGCAACTTTGCCATCAGTCGTCTCTGCCGCCCACTCATTGATGGACTTCAAGGCTCCCTTCTTGTCCCGGAAGTTGATCTTAGAGGGCTCGTAATTGTAGTGCTTCTTGCTCTTCTTCACAAAGTCATCGGCAAAGTTGACCGAGGTTGGCCCATACAGCCGGCTGCCCATCCTCCAGGTCACGTTGCGCGCAGTGGAATTGCTGACCTCGGTGAGGAGCTGGGACAGTGCCGAGTGGAGCTTGTCATCTTGCACCTTGCCCATGTCCAGCACCGCCTTGGCCTCACTGGCTGTCGGCTCCTTGGCACCAAGGGACACCAGGCCGAGGGAAGAGGCGACCACCACAGGAGAGAGGAGGATGTTCTCAGCGCCCTTGTCCTTGGCCATGGTGTGGTAGAGGCTCAGACCCAGCTTGATGCTGCTATCTGCCAGAGCAGCAGTGTGCTCGCTCAGTTTCTCCTCAGCCACTGCGACAACGGCCAGGAGCGTGACGACCAGCAGTTTGCCTACCCACATGGTTCCAGTAGAAGGGGGCGCCATAATCCTGCAAAAAGAAAAGAAACAGAATGCCTAATTAAAACCTTGGGGACATGAGAGTAGCCGACTCCTGTTGCCATGCTCCATAGTAACCTCCCTTCGACAGCGTGTCGCTCCCTCGGCACCATCCCTCCAACAATGCGGCATTCCCTCTGCACTGAGTGCTAGCTCTCTGCCGAAAATCTGAACTGGGGCTCAAATTTGCAAATGACCTGCTGACGAGTGCAGGGTTTTAAGCAACCACATTAAAATGCAAGATGCAGGGGATTCTCCCTTCTCAATGCAGACAGCAGTGCAGAGTTCTCAGCGTCTGAAATTAGGGCAGATATCACAACTGCACCATAAATCGTGCTCTTTCCCAGGCACACACGGGACCAAACAAGTTGATGCAAGGAATACCAAACAAATCGAATTGAAAAGACATACTGCAGACACTGGAAATCTGAAATGGAAGGTCAATCTTAAAAACATGAACTGTTTCGCTCTTCAGATGCTGCCAGACCTGTTGAGCATTTCCTGCATTTTGTTTTCATTTGCAGATTAAACTTGCATTAGTGAATTCCTTCAGCTATTAAATGGTTTGTTGGTACCGAGTGACACACCAACTGCTGTCATTTGTAGCTACTTTTCGCTATCCAATGAGCTGTGTAAGAAGGGGTGTGCGGTCATACATGTTTTTGTGCACATATTGTGTGCAAATACATGGCTGTGTATGCATGTTGGTTTCATATAGGTGTATGTTCCAAAATGGCATTTATGACACTTATTATAATAGAACATACCAAGCCTCTTGACACGGAATCACAGAGCTACATTGTTCACAAAGCCCAATAAGATGAGGTCAAAAATGTTCAAAAGCTTGATCAAACAGGTAGGTTTTAAAGGTGGAATCCCTCAAAAAAAGGCAAGGGAGGTAGAAATGGTGACAGGCTTAGGAAAGGAACTCCAGGCATGGAGTGATGGCCATTGATGGCGGAGTGATTCAGATCAGGGAAGCTCAACAGGTCAGAACTGATGGAATGTAGAGATCTTGAATGACAGTGGGACTAAAGGAGATTACGAAAATAGCGAAGCATTTTAAAGCAAGGATGAAAATTTTTAATAGTGATTGATTAGGAAAAGGTAGAGCTCTGACTAAATGGGTGAACAGGTTTGGTGCAGGTTTTATTGAAGTTCACACTTATCTGTGTATATGTCTGCACACACAAAATTGTCTGCATGTGTACTTACAAAGACTTACAAAGAGCACGATACAATTCTGGACTGTCCCAATACTGAAAGAACTGTCCAGGCCCTGGATAAAGAGAGTGACCACTCAGATCTGCAGCCACGAAGCTATAGCCCGCAAGCCCACTTCAGGACAAAGAAGAGACATTGGGAGAATGAAATTTAAAGAAAAACGAGAAGTAGTAAATACAAGGAGGAAACTGTGAATACAGTCTATCTTGGATTTGAGGGCTTTTCAGACACTGCTTGAGAGAGCCATCTCAAACACAACAGATCTACACTAGCAAGAGAATGTTTGAAGTGGGTCTCAAAGAACTTTCCCGATAACTCTGTCCTTGATTTGAGCATCTGTCTACGTGGCAAATCCTCAGCTGGACGGGGGAGGGACCTTCTCTTGTGCCTGAGAGCATGCCTGGAAATCTGGATCCATTTGAGGCTGCCTTTATTTTACAAATAATCACTCTCAGCGCCTGGCCTGTAATCAGACCACAAAGCTGCAGCAGTCAAAGGCAGCAACTCACTGACCAGAGAATTAACAAACTGGGTTCAGGAAACATCAGCATGGACAATGCACTGCGACACGCAGACAGCAATATGCATGCACAATGCACTGCGACACGCAGACAGCAATATGCATGCACACAGGGACACAAACACACACGTGCACACACGTGCGTGCGCACAATGCAGGTTTTGGTTCCAAATGCCTGTCTCTCAATTCCACTATAATAACCACGTCCTCAGCTGCTCTTAGACTCCATAATGACCTATGCTACTGTTGAGCATCTCCCCACAGATCCAGCACTGTAGATCTCGCCTGATATTTATCCCCTGAACAACATCACTCAATAAACATAGAACATACAACAGTACAGGCCCTTCGGCCCACGATGTTGTGCCGAACTTTTACCCGAAACCTAAGGTCTATCTAACCTCCACTGCTACCTTATACTATCATCCATATGTCTATCTAATAGCCACTTAAATGCCCTTAATGAGACCAACTCCACTACCCTCTCTGGCAATACATTCCTCGCCCCTACCACTCTGAGTAAAGAACCTACCTCTGACGTCTCCTTGATATCTACCTCCACTCACTTTAAAACTATGCGCCCTCATAAAAGCTACCTCCACCCTAGGAAAAAGTCTCTGACTGTCCACTGTATCTATACCTCTGATCATTTTGTACACCTCTATCAAGTCACCTCTCATCCTTTGTCGTTCTAAACAGAAAAGCCCTGGCTCTCTCAACCTTTCCTCGTAAGACCTTCCCTCCATTCCAGGCAACATCCTGGTAAATCTCCTCTGCACCTTTTCCAACGCTTCCACATCTTTCCTGTAATGAGGCGACCAGAACTGGACACAATACTCCAGATGTAGCCGAACCAGGTTTTTGTGTAGCTGGAGCATAACTTCACGGCTCTTGAACTCAATCCCTCTATTAATGAAAGCTAACACATCATACGCCTTCATGACAACTCTATAAACCTGGGTGGCAGCTTTCAGGGAACTGTGAACATGAACCCAAAAATCCCTCTGTTCCTCCACACTGCCAAGAATCTTTCCTTTAACCCTGTATTCTGCAATCCAGTGATTGACTGACTGGCCAGTCCCATTGTAAAGAGAACAAGATCATATGAAAAACAGAACAGTACAGCACTAGTACAGGCCCTTCAGCTTTCCATGTCTTTGCCGACCGCGATGCCATTCTAAACTAATCCCATCTGCCTGTACATAGTCTGTATCCCTCTAATCCCTGCCTGTTCATGTGTCTGTCTACATATCTGTTAACCATTGCTATAATATTGCTTGTGCCACATCCCCAGACAGCTGATTCTAGGCACCTACCACCCTCTTGCCGTGCACATCTGCCTCATACCTTCCCCCTCTCATCTTGAGCCAATGCTCCTTAATATTTAACATTTCCACCGTGGGGAAAAAAGATTCCAACTATCCACCCTATCCATGCCTCCAGTAATTTTATATAATTCTACCAGGTCACTTTCAGCCTCTGACACTCTAGTGAAAACAATCCAAGTTTGTCCAACCTCTCCTTGTAAAGAATGCACTCCAATCCAGGCAGCATCCTGTTAACCCTCCCCTCTCCAAAGCCTCCACATCCTTCCCATAGCGTGGTGACCAGAGCTGTGCACAATACTCCAAATGTAACTTAACTAAAGTCTTACACAGCTGCAATATGACTTGTCAACTTTTATACTCAATTCCCTGCCTGATGAAGACAAGCATGCCATATGCCTTCTTTACAACCTTATCCACTTGTGTTAGCATTTTCAAAAAACTGTGGACATGCTCCCCAAAAATCCCTCTGTATATGAGTGCTCCCAAGGGTCCTGCTTGTCTCAGAGTTCATTGCAGGGGGAGGCTGGGTGGGTGGGTAAGAGCCAGTGAGGGAAGCCCATCCCTACAGTACTTCTCCCACAACACGTCACATTTCAGCAAAGTCTAATTTCACAAACCACACCATGTTATTGTAACTAAATCTCTATAGATGGGCTTACGGTGCTCCAACAACATGGAAGGAAAGACAAATTCATTCTTAGGACATGGGTTTCTCTGGCTCTGCCAGCACTTATTGCCTGTCTCAAGTTGCTCCGGTGGTGCCTTCTTGAACAACCGCAGTTCGTGTGCTGGAGATAGACCCACAATGCCCTTAGAGAGAGAATTCCAGGATTTTGACCCAGCAACACTGAAGAAATGGCAATATATTTCCAAGTCAGGATGGTGAGTGACTTGGAAGAGAACTTGCAGGTTGATGGTGCTCCCATGTATCTGCTGCCCTTGTCCTTCTAGATGGAAGTGGTTGTGCGTTTGGAAAGTGCTGTCCAAGTATTTTTGATGGTTAACTTTGCAAAATCACTCAACCTTCTCCATTGCTTTCTGCTTCCACTGTTTGCATGCAAGTAGGCTAGTTAACAGCTCAGTTTTAGGTATGCCCCTGGCGTGCCCTCCTGCACTCTCCACTGAACCGGGCTTATCCCCTGGTTTGATGGTAATTGTAGATTGAGGGACATGCCTGGCCATCAGGTTTCTGATTGTGGTTAATATGGTGCTGATGGTGCATAACGCATTGTGGATGCCTGCACGAATGCAGGAGTTAGGACCAGGAATGGGCCATTTGGCCCATCTGGTCTGCTTTGCCATTCAATAAGACTATGGTTGATCCAATAACCCTGGACTCCATTTCCGAAAACCTTTCTCAGGCCTAGATGCATTCAGTGGCACAGCCCCATCATCTCTGGGGAAGGGACTTCCACAGGCTCCTGGCTGTCTGGGTGAAATAGCTTTCTCCTCATCTCTTATTCCTTCACCCACATAAATTTAAGGAGGAGACAGATTTTTGATTAGAAACAGGCTGAAGGATTACAGATAGCAATCAGTAAAGTGATTCATTTTGAAAGGACAAATTTGAAAGCAGAATACAGGGTTAACAGAAAGACTCTTGGCAGTGTGGAGGAGCAGAGGGATCTCGGGGTTAATGTTCACAGTTCCCTGAAAGCTGCCACCCAGGTGGATAGAGTTGTTAAGAAGGCTTATGATGTGTTAGCTTTCATTAATAGAGGGATCGAGTTCAAGAGCCGTGAAGTTATGCTCCAGCTATACAAAAACCTCGTTTGGCCACATCTGGAGTATTGTGTCCAGTTCTGGTCGCCTCATTACAGGAAAGATGTGGAAGCATTGGAAAAGGTGCAGAGGAGATTTACCAGGATGTTGCCTGGAATGGAGGGAAGGTCTTACGAGGAAAGGTTGAGAGAGCTAGGGCTTGTCCCCTTAGAACGACGAAGGATGAGAGGTGACTTGATAGAGGTGTACAAAATGATCAGAGGTATAGATAGAGTGGACAGCCAGAGACTTTTTCCTAGGGTGGAGGTAGCTTTTATGAGGGGGCATAGTTTTAAAGCAAGTGGAGTAGATATAGGGGAGACGTCAGAGATAGGTTTTTTACTCAGAGAGTGGTTGGGGCATGGAATGCATTGCCAGAGAGGGTAGTGGAGTTGGCCTCATTAGGGGCTTTTAAGAGACAATTAGATAGGCATATGGATGACAGTATAAGGTAGGGGTGGAGGTTAGATAGACCTTGGGATTAGGGCAAAAGTTTGGCACAACATCATGGGCCGAAGGGCCTGTACTGTTCTATGTTCTAAAGTGGAGTTGAGGCTGAGAGGAGATCAGCCAAGATTGTATTAAGTGGTGGTGCAGGCCCAAGGGGCTGAATGGCCTTTTCCTGAGCCTAGTTCTTTTGTTCTTAAGTATCCCTTAGTTCTTGTCTCTCCTATAAAAGGGAAACATCCTCTCAGAATCCATCCTGTCAGGTCCCCTCAGAGTCTTACTTCTCTCAAAAAAGATCACCTTACATTCTTCTAAACCACAAGAACAAACTGATTGACCGATCTTCATGAGATAAGCCTTTCAATCTCGAAATGAGTTCAGCGTACCTTCCCTGAGCTGTATATTAAAAAGACAATAAATTACTACTGTCCTTTAGCAAAGGAAACCCGCCATGTTACCTGGAGTGATTGGAACAAAGTCAGCCAGGTGGGCCTCACAGAACATGAGTTCCCCAATTGGTCCAGGTTAACAGTTCCAATCAGGGAGCCCTGGCTGACAGATATAAACAGGAGTGTCAGAGGTTCTCTTCAATCTAGGTGTTGCCTGTGTTAGATGGCTCAGTGTCATGTACTGTGCACGTGTAAATAAAGGGATACCAGCCTGCACTGAGTTATTTCAATATGCCTATGTGACTCCATGTAGCACCCAGAGAGCAATCTTGCTGGTTCCTAACTGTCCTTGAAACGGCTTGATAAAATGACTTAGTTGAAGGGATTTCGGGAAAAGGTAGAAAATCCAGCAATGCCCATATCCTATGGCTTTTTAGAAAGATTTTCAAGCTGTCAAGGATAAAGAGAGAAAGCTGCATTGTGGCACTAACAGATAGAGGACTGGCCATGATCAAATTGAATGACAGAGCAGGCTCGAGGATGCAATAGGCTATTGGAATTACAACTAGACTATTAGTCTACAAATGCAGGAGACCTTCCAGGGACCTGGTTTTGAATCCTGCCATGGCATTTTTTTTAAAAATCTGGAATTTAAGAGTTTCATGATGACCATGAAATCATTGCCGATTGTTGTATAAACCCATGTCCATTAGGGAAGGAAATCTACCATCCTTACCCAGGCTAGCTCACATATAACTCCAGATCCACTGCAATGTGGTTTAGGGCAGAACAGTGGCTCAGCGGTTAGCACACTTACCTCACAGCACCAGAGACTCCAGTTCAATTCCAACCTCGGGTGACTGTCTGTGCAGCATTTGCACATTCTCCCTGTGTCAGTGTGGGTTTCCTTCCACAGTCCAAGGATGCAGAAGTTAGATGGACTGGCCATGCTAAATTGTCCATCGTGTCCAGGGACGTGCAGGCTGTGTGGATTGGCCATGGGAAATGTGGGGTTACGGGGGCAGGGGTGGTGGTGAGTCTTGGTGGGATGTTGTTCAGAGGATCAGTGTGGAGTCAATGGACCGAATGGCCTGCTTCCACACATTAGGGATTCTCATGAATTCTTAACTGTCCTCTGGGCAACTAGAGATGTGTAATAACTGGCCTAGTCACTGCGACGTGCATGGCTCCTGAATCAATTTCTTTAGAGGGCCAAATGGCCTATTCTGGTTTCCAGTATTTTTTCTAAAAAGCTAATTTTAAAGCAATTGGAATCTTTATAAAGTAACTGGGTAATTGAGTGTCAGACAGAAAGGCCTTAATTCCTCCTGCCCACTGCTCTTTTTTTTGCAAATAATTGAATGACAGAGTTTATTTTGAAAGTTTCTTCTCACGTTACTTCCTTCCCAACTCCAAGGCAAGTTGGCAACGCCAGGCAATGATCTGGCCACACCCAGATTTAAACTTTCCGTCTTTCAACAAAGCTTCAAGGAGAAAGCCAGCAGCCTAGGGAGCGTACAGCTCTGGCCCTTCGGCTCTAACATCCTCCTCAAACAGAACAAAGAGGAATCTATCCTGATAGTCTCTGCAAGGTGCTGGGAAGAAGACGTTCAGCCAGCAATCCGCCCTCCCTTTGGAGGAGACAAACACATTCAGTTTTAGTTACAGTTCCTCAATTCCTGAGCCGGCTGAAAATAAATAAAATTAAATCAACTCAACTGGTCATCCCGACTGCAGCCGTTGTCTCTGTGACTGCGGGGCGGGGTAGCCAGTCCCATAACAAATTGCATTTATATAGCGCCCTTCGCGTAGAACACAAGTGCTATCGGAATCGCACTTCACACCGAGCCAGTGAAGGCGGGATCGGGAGCAAGGGCTCAAAAATCCGGGTCACAGAGGTTGCTCAAAGAAGTAGAGAGCTAGAGTTTAACTAGAGAATGTAAAATAAAACTCCGAGCGGTTTGTTTTTAAAAAAACCGAGAACCATTAAAATTGGGGGATACTGTGTAACTGGCCTGAACCGGAGGAACAGAGGGTCGGAGGAGCTTACAGATCGAGGAGGGGAGGGATTGGGGGAAATTGGACGGCAAGGCTGAGATTTTTAAAATCCAACTTTTCTTTCTTTCCTCATCTCTGAAGATTGAAACGAAAAGGACTGTCAGATGGGAATACAGTCTGTTTCAGATCCAACATTCCCCACTGCAGGGGCCTCGGCTGTGGAATGCAACAGGAAGCGCAGATCAAAACGATTTTCATGTTCCAGCAGGAACGCATTCTCCTTCAGCACGCACACAGAGACCGGGGGAAAAAAAAAAGAGGTTCTGGCCGCGATCCTAACTTGGAAGAAATCACTGCCCCGCAGTGCTGAGATTTCAAGGGGCGGAGAAATCTGTTCTGGTCTCTTTCCTTAGACTGAAAAATCAGCAAGTCGAAGATCTGGTAGAAATGCAATGACATTCTTCACACACACAAGAGGGAAAACACAATAAAGGGATAAATATCAGAAGGTCTAACCTTGAAATTTTGTCAAAGTGATGTCAACTTTTGCCTTTGTCATTCTGAAAGAAAATAAACAAATCAAGTACAGGATACTTTATCCCCAGTACTTCAAACAGGATGGGGGAATGCGAGTTCGGACCGGTTTGGGTGAGGTGGGGAAATCATTTTACCCCCTGATTTATTTTTTTTTTAAAAAAAGGAGGGGGTGGGGGAAAGGGAAGAAAAAAAAAAATCAGCCAATGGATGTTGCCAGAGTGGACAAATTCTTCGAAACGTCTGGAAATTTCCTTATACATTCCTTCCAAACCCCACCCACACCTCCCCCCCCCCCCCCCTCTCTTGTCTGAAATTATGGATTTCAAAATTTGGACCATCAAGATGCAAGAAAAGCAAAGTTAAAAATAAAACAACTCTTCGGATTTGACTGAATGGGACGTTTGCAAGTTTAAAAAGAAAAAAAAAACTTTCCAAGGGATTATTTGCCAGATTTTGCCCAGATCTTTTTGTCTCGCCTATTCTTTCTGTAACGTTATCCCCCATTTGCCTCCCCTTCCTCCCTGGGAGGCGGGGGAAGGAAGAGAATCAAAGAATTTGCACAGTCTTATTTGTTCAGAAAAGTTCTGACGAGCACACCAAAAAATAAGCTCAATCCTAGTTTATTTTACATTCATATTGGGTGTCATAATATGAAGGTATTAGATGCAGTTAAAAGTATAGGAGACGCGTGGTTTACATTCGGGTTAAGGCTGGAATATATTGCTATTATTTACAATTTCATTAGATAATTTGCTACAAATAATTTGATACACTGTCTCAGCAAACATGAACACAGCTACGTAGCGACCAGTTTTGCTTTAAATACAAAGTCTTTCCAAGTACAAAATTATGTATATTTTTGTCCAACTTTGGGGCATTTTACTTCAAAGACTGTTTAAGATTCCGTGCAGTAAGACAGGCAGCCTGACTAACCCTCGACTATCCATGGCAGCACAGAGATTTAAAACAAATTTAAAAAGTTTTACAAACTTCTGATGTCCCTTAACTTTTCATTCCCAATAGCTGCGGCCGTGTAACTGGACAGTGACTGACCTGCTGCATTCATTTGTCCCATTACAGTGCAGCCCAGACGGGATATAACTCTTCATACAGTCTCTCACCTGCTCTCCTTCACTAACTCTCCGAGATTTCCTAGTCCTTTTGGTTCTTCGGCTAAAGCCCCCTGAGTGCTGCTGTCTGCTGGAAAGCTCTGGAAAGCTGGATGAACAAAGTTCCCTTGTAAGGTTTATTTAAAGGCTGAACTTCGAACCAGGCAAGTGAGACCTCCCACCGAGGTTTCCACTGGGTCCCAGAGACCACCCCTCTTTAACGCCGGCCTCGCCGGAGAAAGGCAGGCAACATTTTATCATGTAGCGTAGAGACTAGAACGCCGGCAGTTAACACCCCACTTATCTACCAGAGCAAATTTTCCATTAATCCTCACCCAACCCTAATGATATCACCATACAAACTTGCATGTTTATAAAACAAACTTTATTTATATCATGTAGCTACATTTAAGAATCATCTGGATGAGTATTTAAGACGCCAGGGCATGGTAGGCTATGGACCAAGTACAGGTAAATGGGATTAGTGTAGTTTGTTGGTTGGCATGGACAAGGTGGGCCGAAGGGCCTGTTTCTATGTTGTATCACTGTATGACTCTTTGCAGGGATAGACAAAATTTGACACAAAGCCACTTGGGGAGTTAGGAGTAGTAGGAACTGCAGATGCTGGAGAATCTGACATAACAAGGTGTAGAGCTGGATGAACACAGCAGGCCAAGCAGCATCAGAGGAGCAGGAAAGCTGACGTTTC